GCGGCACAGCCCTTCCGCGGCAGGGAAACCTACTGAGAGCTAGGGCTAAGGGACACCAAACCCCCATGGCCACCTTCAGGGGCAGGAGCAGGAGGAGGAGGAGAGGTAGGAGGGAGGAGGAGGAAGGAGGAGGAGGAGGAAAAGGAGGAGGAGGGAGGAGGGAGGAGGAGGAGGGAGGAACATAATGAGTTTGAAAGGGGATCGCGGTCGATCCACGTGGCTGTCGGGAACAGCTAAGACGACCGTGCGCGGTGCCAGATCGATAACATGGTGTCGAGAAGAAGTCTCGCCCTCAGGAGAACGTTCGAGCTTCACCGTCACCAAGTACGAAGCACGTTCAGGCAACAGATCGATGTTTGAAAAGAATGCCGCCCTGCATCCCTGAAGCTCTGCGACGTTCCCAAACTTGGGACAGTGGAAATGTGCAGCCCTAATAAGGAGTCAAGACTTACCAAAGAGCTGCCCATCCATCTAGGTACCTAATTGTTTTGCATGTTGGCCTTATGGTCGTGAGACTCGAGCCAGTCCCACGCGAGAACGACAAGCTGACCAAGCACCGCGCCCTCTATCTGCGCAGCTGCTGGAACTCCACGGGTGTCTGCTGCTTCCTCCAGAAATCCCAGACGATGTATATCAGTTCCGATCGGAATATCACCCTCCACCCGTGCAAAAAAACAGGAACCTGTCATACAAGCGTGCGCGGTCACAGCAGCCACATGTTGGAAACCATCGGCCCTGCATATCTACGACTGCTAGCCGATATTGCATCAAGGGCACGGCCACATGCTGTAGACGACCCACCCTCGAGTCGCGAGTCTACTGGAATCCCTTACGGCAGCAGGGCGCGGCAATCAGGCGAAAGCCACATGCTCATAACAAGCCGCTCGCCGTCCGTCCGCGTGAGCGGTGGAAAGGTCAAATTCTGTGATGTCGACGAGGAAGTATCAAGCAGAACGCATGTAGCATCCTACAGACACGCTCTGTAGTACGGCAAGACATCCTCATCCCCTTCGTGCAGCAACAATCCTCAAGACACTGCCCTATCGATGACCGAGAGGCCGAGTAATATGAAAAGGAAAAAGAAAGGCGGGACGTCAAGGCTGCCGCCAATCTGACGCCCCAGCGAAGGGCCAAGGCTTGTGCATGGTGGTGCCTATAAGGCAGGGCAATCTGCCCGACCTCAAGCTCGCGAGCTGCGTGGGCGTAACCTGCTGGCAGAAGCCTGCCAGCTATGTGGAAACCTTCGCGCCAGACGGGTAGAGTCCACACCGATAAGCCTCGTCCCCCTCCTCCCTCCAGCCTCCCACATCCTCCTCCTCCTCCTCCTCCTCCTCCTCCTCCTCCTCCTCTTCCTCCTCCTCCCCCTCCTCCCTCCTCCTCCTCCTCCTCCTCCTCCTCCTCCTCCTCCTCCTCCTCCTCCTCCTCCTCCTCCTCCTCCTCCTCCTCCTCCTCCTCCTCCTCCTCCTCCTCCTTTCCTCTTCCTTATAAATAACGTCTCCCTATCGCACCCCGAGGCCCGTGACTTGGGCGGGCCGGGCGTTTCGCCTGAGACTCCCTCACCACTCATGACTCTGAAGCGTTGACATTGGCAACAGTTTCACAAATGGAGGGCGGGTGGTTTTGAAAAGGTGGCTCTCGCCTTAGCGCTGCGCACTTTCGTCGATAATGTGCAAGAGTTTTACGGATTGAAGGCAGGTGGTTTTCAAAATGTGGCTCTCGCCTGGGCGCCATGCGCATTCGTTGGGTCGTTTTCTAAATGTGGCTCTCGCTTTAGCGCCGCGCATATTCGTTTTGAAATCTGCAAGGGCTCTACGGATTAAGGACGGGTCGATTTCAAAATGTGGCTCTCGCCTTGGCGCCGCGCACATTCCTTTTTAACAGTTGCAAAAGTTTCACTGGTGTCCATGACAAACATACCAGAAATGGTGTTTGGGAAGGATTCAGGATTATGCGGGTGCAACAGTTATGTTGGCTCGCGGTGTTGAAACGCCATAAATGTCATTCTGGCACGTTCCACGATCGTCAGGACGCAGCAGACTGGTCTCCTGGGAACAATTTGTGGCATGCTTCTAGGTCTTCAAACGGTTGTCTCGCAACGAGGCAGATTCCTCAATGGAAACGAACTGTTGTAGGGGCCTATGACAAGGGAGCTTGGAGAAAGGGTGTTTTCCAACATCGCTGACGGCAGTTAGGCATACACTGGTCCTCCTCCTCCTCCTCCTCCCACTCCTCCTCCTCCTCCTCCTCCATTCCCTTTCCTTATAAATAACGCCTTCCTGTCGCACCCCGAGGCCAGTTTTTACGGCGTGCCGGGCGTTTCGCCTGAGATTCCCTCACCATTCATGACTCTGAAGCGTAGACATTGGCAACACTTTCACACATGGAGGGCGGGTGGCTTTCAAAATGTGGCTCTCGCCTTATCGCCGCGCACACTCGTTGCAAACACTTGCAAGGGTTTTACGGATTGAGGGCGGGTGGTTTTCAAAATGTGGCTCTCGCCTGGGCGCCGCGCACATTCGTTTTAAAATTTTGCACGAGATTGACGGATTGAGGGCGGGTGGTTTTCAAAATGTGGCTCTCGCCACAGCGCCGCGCACATTCGTTCATAAAATTTGCAAGCATTTCACGGACACCCACGATCAACGTACGCGGAATCGTGTCTTGGAGAGATTCAGGATTTTGCGAGCGCAACAGATGCGTTGATTCGCTGTGTTGAAATCCCAAGAATGTCGTTGTGGCATGTTCCACGATCGTCAAGACGCGAAAATCCGGTTGATCCGTGGCGCTGGAATCCCGAGAACAATGTTTTGGCATGCCTCCGGGTCTTCAAACGGTTGTCTTGCAACGAGGCAGATCCCTCAATGGAAGGGGCCTATGACAAAGGAGCTTGGAAGGAGGGTGCACTCCAACATCGCTGACGGATCTTAGGCATACACTGGTCCTCCTCCTCCTCCTCCTCCTCCTCCTCCTCCGCCTCCTCCTCCTCCTTCATTCCTTTCTTTTCAGATAACTTCTCCCTGTCGCACCCCGAGGCAAGTTTTTACGGCGGGCCGGGCGTTTCGCCTGAGACTTCCTCGCCATTTATGACTCTGAAGCTAAAAAAGTGGCACCAGCTTCACAGATGGAGGGCGGTTGATTTTCAAAATGTGGCTCTCGCCTTAGCGCCGCGCACATTCGTTCTAAAAATGTGCAATAGTTTCGCTGACTGAAGGCGAGTCGTTTTCAGAATGTGGCTCTCGCCTTGGCGCAACGCACATTCGTTTCAAAAATTTGCAAGAGCGTCACGGATTGAGGGCGGCGGGGTTCAAAATATGGCTCTCGCCTTAGCGCCGCGCACATTCGTCTAAAAATCTGCAACAGCATCACAGATTGAGGGCGGGTGGTTTTCACAATGTGGCTTTCGCCTTGGCGCAACGCACATTCGTTGTAAACAAATGTAAGAGATTCACGGATTGAGGGCGGGTGGTTTTCAAAATGTGGTTCTCGCCTTGGCGCAACGCACATTCGGTGTAAACAAATGTAAGAGTTTCACGGTTCCTTTTCAAAATGTGGCTCTCGCCTTAGAGCCACGCATCTTCGTTTAAACATATACAAGAGTTTCACTGGTTCCCATGACCAACATACCAGAAATTGTGTGTTGGAAAGATTCAGGATGTTGAGTGTGCAACAGTTTTGTTGATTCGCGGTGTTGATGTCCAAAAAATTGGGTTCTGGCACGACTCCGGATCGCCAAGACGCAACGGTCAGGTTTATCCGTGGCGTTGAAATCCCGAGAACAATGGTTTGGCATGCTTCTAGGTCTGGTCTTCAAACGGTTGTCTTGCAACGAGGCAGATCCCTCAATGGAAATGAACTGTTGTAGGGGCCTGTGAAGAGGGAGCTTAGAGGGAGGGTGAATTCCAACATCGTTGATGACTCGTGGGTTTACACTAGTCCTCCTCCTCCTCATCCCTCCTCCTCCTCCTCCTCCTCCTCCTCCTTCCTCCTCCTCCTCCTCCCTCTCCTCCCTCCTCCTCCTCCTCCTCCTCCTCCTCCTCCTCCTCCTCCTCCTCCTCCTCCTCCGCCACTCGACTCCGTACTTCGCGCTGCGCGACCCTGGCAATGAGCCGACGATGTGACTCGCTCCGTGCGCGGCCCCAGAAAGGTCCCCAGCCCCTTCCCTGGGGGCGGCTCTTCGCCCGGGCTCCACTCTTGAGGGTCCCCTGGGCCCAGGGGGCGGGCCCCAGAAGCCGACATCGAGGAAACACACGCCCGGCTGGAGAAATCAGATCGTCGGAGGGCCGGGGCGGCGCGGAGAGCGCTCCTCCAACCCGTCCTCGTTCCCCTTGGCCAGCTTTTCGGGGGCCGCCGAGGGGGGGGTGTCCAAGAGGGGGGGGGTGCAAATCATGGCCCGAGGCATGTGCGCGGCCCAGGGGGAGGGCCAGGGACGTCTTGAGATAAGAAGAGGCGCCATGAAATCTGGGGAAACATCATGGCCCCCGCCAGGATATCCACACCCCCTGGTCATCACTACCCTCTTGGCCGCCCCCGAAGCTTTCTGTCCCAGATCGTTGTTTGAAGACCGCCGGGCCCCGAAACGCCCGTCATTATTGTCACACTCGCCCTGCTGCTGTTTCTGCCTCTTTTACCCTCGAGCCTGGGCAAGAGCAGGCCGCATCAGAGGTGAGCTCCTCTTTCTCGTCCTCCCACTCCCGCTGCTCCTCCAAGCGCAGAGCCCAATAATTTGCTTCCGTGCAGGAGCTGGGTACTAGGCCTTGATGGCCAGGGCCTCTGGGGTTTGGCGTGGGGCCTTCGGCTCCGTGGGGGGGCTCTTTCTTGCCTAGTGCGGGGGTTGGTCGTCCCACTTTCGCGCCCGTAGTGGCGAGCTTTTCCATTGGGATTCGACGTAGTCAGTCTCAGCCTCAGCCCCCTGCTCCTCCGCCTTCTCCTCCTCCCCCCTCCTCCCCACTCCACCGTCCCACCCATTGACCCCTCCCCCTCACAGGCGGCGGGAGCGGCGCCTCCAGTGGGTCGGTGGCCTTGTGGTCCGTCATGGATGTCAGCCTGAGGGCACGTCCGGTAATCACCCCGTGTCGTGTCCCAGCCCAGGGCGGAGAGGGAGGGCCCCTTCTCTCGGCGGCGCGCCGAGGGGGGAAGTGAGAGGAAATAGGCCTTCTCAGAAGGCGTCGGGTCTTCTCAGAAGCCGTCTGGCCTTCTGAGCGCCTTCGGGAAGGGCTCAGAAAGCATCCCAGAAGGCTGTCCAGAAGACCCGCCCCCTCTGCCTCTCCCCCCTGGGCGCGCCGCCGCTCCTCGCTCCCCCGGGGTAGAAGCGCAGGGAGTTGGGGCAAGACAGCAGGGTGTCGCGCCCAGGTGGAGGCCTGTCACGCCCTGTGCCGGGCAAGTGGCGGCGGACGGGACAGATCAGCCATACCCATACGAGACTCTGATGAAGGGAGCGTCGCTGCCACTCTCCCCGAGCAGCTAAAACTCAGGCGAGTCTGGGCCCTCCCTCCTCCCTCATCCCTCCCTCCCCTTCTCCCCCTCCTCCCCCTCCTCGCCCCTCCCCCTCCCCGATCCTCCCGTAAAGCCTCTACAACCCCGTCCTGGGATGGAAGGGAGCTGACCATGTACTGCGCGGATCCCCCAACAAAACCGCGAGGCTCGACATGGGACAAAGCACGAAGCTCAGGTCTGACTTGGGAGGGAGCTGACGACGACGACGACGACGAAGACGACGACGACGACGACGACGACGACGACGACGGCGGACGACGACGACGACGACGACGACGACGACGACGACGACGACGACGACGACGACGGCGGACGACGACGACGACGACGACGACGACGACGACGACGACGACGACGACGACGACGACGACGACGACGACGACGACGACGACGACGACGACGACGACGACGACGACGACGACGACGACGACGACGGACGACGACGACGACGACGACGACGACGACGACGACGACGACGACGACGACGACGACGGCGACGGACGACGACGGCAGCGGCGGCGGCGACGACGACGGCAGCGGCGGCGGCGGCGACGGTGGCGGCGGCGGCGGCGGACGACGACGGCAAACAGCGGACGCGGCCAGAAGCCTGGTGGCGCTGCCTCCGCGCGCCATGACCGCGCGGCTGTCGCCCAGGTGGGCGGTGTAGATCACCCGGGCGTGCCGCTCCTCGACGGGGCCCGCTGCTCCTGCGCTCTCCCTGTCTCTCTCTCTTGCTGCGCCTCCTCCTCCTCCTCCTCCAGTCTCCTCCTCCTCCTCCTCCTCCTCCTCCTCCTCCTCCTCCTCCTCCTCCTGCTCCCCTGCTCCTCCTCCCTCCTCCTCCTCCTCCTGCTGCTCCTCCTCCTCCTCCTCCTGCTGCTCCTCCTCCTCCTCCTCCACCTGCTCCTCCTCCTGCTCCTCCTCCTCCTACTCCTCCTCCATCCTCTCGATTATCCCGCTTCTCCTCGTCATCCTCGTCGCTTTCCTCTCGGTGTGTGCGTTCTGTTGGCATGGACGCGTGCGTGCAGCGCGAGAGACGTGCGAGCACATGACACGCTGCCTGGTGAATTTGATAACCCCCGTGGTACACATACAAAAAAATCCTGGTCCTCCACCCTCTTCCTTCCCCGACCTCTTTCCCCCGCCTCCTCCCTCCGCTTCGCTCCCTGTCCATCCTCTTACTCCCGCGAGTGGGCGCGCGCGGGGGGGGGTCAGAAGCAGGAGGAGCAGCTGCAGCAGTAGCAGGAGGACGAGGGAAGGAGGAGGAGAAGGAGAGAGGAGAGAGCAGGAGGGAGGGAGGAAGGAGGAGAAGGGAAGAGGAGGGAGGAAGGAAGGAAGGAAGGTAGGTAGGCAGGAAGGAAGAAAAGGAAGGAAGGAAGAAAAGGAAGGAAGCAGCAGGAGGAGGAGGACGAGGAAAGGAGGACGGAGGAGGGAGGAAGGGGGAGGGAGGGAGGGAGGGAGGGAGGGAGGGGAGGGAGAGAGGGAGGGGTGGGCGGGCGAGAGCGGGAGGAGGCAAAGCCCCCATGGCTCCATCCTCGGGCGCGGGCCTACCTTGCGACACTCGATGGCCGCGCGGGGGGAGGGGGGGGGAAACGGTCGAATTGTAAACATCGGTTTGACGGTTTATGCACTGGTTGAATGGGTGTTCCCTGGCCCCCCTGGTTTATTACCCGGTTCCATTTTCTGAAACGTGAGGAAATCATACTCGTCACAGAAAAGGCCTCTAAGAGGCCGCTAGGATGCCTCTACGGTGCCTCTAAGATGCCTCTACGATGCCTCTGAGAGGCCTCTGCGAGGCCACAACGATGCCTCTAAGAGGCTTCTACGATGCCTCAAAAAGGGCTCTACGAGGCTTCTACGAGGCCTCTACGATGCCTCTACGAGGCTCCTACGATGCCTCAAAGAGGCGCTTTACGAGGCCTCTACGATGCCTCTAACAGGCCCCTACGAGGCCTCGACGAGGCCACTAAAAGGCCCTACGATGCCTCTAAGAGGCCTCCTCAGAACTCC